TTTTTCACATTTATTTTGAAGTCAGATTTAAAAAAATTCAAAATGGCCGATCCAATATGGTAAAACAATTTTAAAAAATCGTTCGATATCGTTTGAAAATCGTTACTCGGGGTATTTGGGGTCGCTTATATTACGAATCTGCTGTTAATTTTCAAAATTCAAAATGGCTGAACCAAAATGACGGAAATATTATTTTAAATTCGACGGATTTACTTGAAACTCGTTTTTCGGGTCGCTGATTACGAAACTTATATTAATAAATTGTATTGATTTTTATATGCCTGGCCGCCATATTGGATACGACATTTTAAATTTTGAAAAACTAACATCAGATTAGAAATCAGTCGCCCTGATGACCCCCGAGTAACAATTTTCAAGCGAATCCGAAAGATTTTTTAAAAAAATTTTCGCTATATTGCATCCACCGTTTTGAATTTTGAAAAACGGACACCGAATTCATCAGCGACCCCAAAAACCCGCGAGTAATGATTTTCAAGCAAATATGTTTAATTTTTTAAAATTCTTCCGCCATATTGTAATTTTGAATTTTCTAAATCTGTAATATTACAGTAACCATACAGTAATATTAGTGTAATATTGCAGTAATATTACTGTAATATTACAGCAGTATTAACTGGTAATATTACAGCAGTATTAACTGGTAATATTACCATGAGGTAGACATTTTAATATTACTGCAATATTACTGTAATATTACGTGCTATTTGGGCTGGATTGTCCCATATTGCGCTTAGCAAAAAACCTTGTTGAAAATCGAAAAATAATAATTTTCGAATTATAATTCCCAATAATCAAAGTACTAATTGTTTTCATATGTTTTTTAGAAATATTTTTAAAATGTGTTTTTTCCTTTGTAATAAGAGAATTATTAATAACATCGTGGAAGTGACAAATTGTTTGTGATAGATTAAAATATATACCAATATTAAAAGTAAGTATTGATTTTATAAAATTTTTGGAATTAACTATCTTTCCACACAGCACAACAATTTACTGCAATTTAAGGTGGATGAAAAACTGACCCGAAAAAAAATCGATTTGCTTAAACGATACTTTATAATGTGTAGAATAGAAATTATATCAACAAAAGCGATTTCGAAGTTATTTTATGTGAAAAAAACGAAATCTGCAGAAGGTGTCTAAGAGAGCTTCCCACATAGCACGGCTTCTTGCTGTGGGGTTACTGTAAGGATATCTGTAGGTTTTGTAAGGTTACCGTGTAAGTCTGCAGTAAACTTGAGGTAATTGAGGTAACTTGAGGTAACTTCCGCCTTACAATAAGCTTAGACAGTAAAGCAAAGGTAAGCTTACACAGTAAATTCGTGGTAAGTTTACGTGGTTAGGTTGTTGTAAGCTTCCTTTAAGGTTTCTGTAAGGTTGCTGTAAGGTTACTGTAAACATAGAATGTTATTCATAAATAAATTTTATTAATATTGATGCGCAGTAGTTTTCTATGGCACATACGGCTGCGCAGTAACTTTTATTTGACACACCCTATTGGGGTTCATGAAGTACTTCACCAAATATATAATTTTTTATAAAAAAAATTTGTAATATAATATATATTATAATATAATTATTTTTAATATATTTTCATATTACTTTATGTTTACAGTAACCTTACAGCAACCTTACAATAACCTTACGGGAAGCTTACAACAACCTTACCGTGTAAGCTTACCACAACCTAACCACGTAAACTTACCACGACTTTACTGTGTAAGCTTACCTTTGCTTTACTGTCTAAGCTTATTGTAAGGCGGAAGTTTTAAGATTACCTCAAGTTTATTGCAGGCTTACACGGTAACCTTACAAACCCTACAGATATCCTTACAGTAACCTCACAGCAAGAAGTCGTGCTATGTGGGTTCATGTGATAGTTATCGCTATCAGCTATTTTCTCTTTTACCCTGGTAACAATTATGTTCTTTTACACTTACATCCGCTCGATTGGATGAAATTAAAGCCAATATTAATGTACAAGGCCAATTATAACACAGAAAATTATAAGGTATTAAAATAAGCTGCAACGCTTATTATTTTAATCCAATTTTGCTTATTTTAATACCAAAATGGATTAAAATAAGCAAAATTGGATTAAAATAATAAGCGTTGCAGCTTATTTTAATGCCTTTTAATTTTCTGTGAAGGTGCAGGCATCGTAGATTAACGTGGAGTTTATTTTTTTTATAAGTTTTTATATGTCAAAACTTTAAACGTGGTTTTCTCGAAATGATATTTTTCAAAATGGTGGGCAGTCTAGCATGATCAGTTTTGATCGGACTGACTTTGATCAAAGTTTTTTTTATATTAATAATAATAAATAATTAAAAATATATAGGTATAGGTAATTATATTGTAGTTGTTTATTAAAAAAATGTATTAATGACCATATTATCATCGATGTAGTATACATTTTTATATTACAGATAATTACATATTTTACATATATTTATTTAAATAATAATGTATTAAATAATTTAATTACATATTAATTTATTTAAATAATATATAAATATAATTTTTTAATACACAATATATTGTCAGTGAATGTGTTGCCATAACGACAGTAAAACGCGAGTCGACATTTTGTTTTGATGTTCTTTGTAAAAAGTAAATTTTTTATCATTCTGTACCACTTTTTTAAAAAAAATGTGTTGCTGGTGTTAAATTATTTTTTCTTTGTTTTTTGAGTAGTAATACCATGCAAACTTTCTATCACGGTGGCTACAAATATGATAGAGACGATAGATGCACACGAACCGTCACCTACAGGTTATCATTTTCAAAATTTTTAAACTTTACTCTAATTCTACTTTTTTATTCTTTTTAATTAAATTCTAATTTTACAGAAATTACATTCCTATTAGAGAAAGTTGATTTAATTGTTATTTAATTGAACTTCTATTAAAAAATCAAAACCCTTAAACGTTTCATATAAAAATCAATTAAATTTATTAATTAAATTAAATTAATTAATAATATTTAATTACTATTAATTAAAATTAAATTAATTATTTAAGATTAAAGTTAATATATTATCTTACACTGTACACATTTTTTTGAAAAATTAATTAAAAGTTGTTTTGAAAAGGTTAGAAGATTTTTGCAAATAGTAATACAAGATAAATTCAAACATCTTTTTTGACTTGAGCCCAACGAAGCTTTAAGAAAAATTTTGAAATTACTTAAAATTTTTTTAAATCCAGAGTTGAAATTAATTTCTAACAAGTATTCAATTTTTTTAAATAATGTATTAAAAATTGTCGAAACATTGTTCAATATTTCATGTTCAGTAAATTTGTCACTTATCTATCCAAAAAGTCATTCCTTGCACCGCTTTCTTCCTCTCACTCCTTCATTAACGTCTAATAATTCTATTTAACTTTTCAATTATTCAAAATTGCTGTAGGTGTGTAAACCGTACAAACAGGATTAAAGGATGTTGTAAAGGTGCTTTGAAGAAAGTTGGTAATCAGTACCAACTGATAAAGCCTCATCTGTGTTCTCGAGACGACAACGTTGAAAATAATAATGCGGCCAAATCAGAAATGATTAAACGTTGTTTAATAATGACACTAAATTTAAGAGAAATTTATGATGAAGTATGTCATGAGTGAGTAAAACTTTATATTAAGTTTTGCATGTTTGCGATACAAGATTATCACAAGAATACTACAAGCTTTAAATGTCTCGCCTATGGCAAACTAGCCACGCAAGCTTAAAGCAAGCTACCCCGACAATTTTACTGTACACTGGAAAAAAAATTTATTCGAATCAATTGATTCAAATTATTTGAAAAATATTTACTTGGTACAAATATTTTTAAGTTGGATCTAAAAAGTATGTATTCGATTTAAATAACTTAAATTATTTGAATCAAACATATTTGAAACAAATATATCGTAATTGGGTCAAGTAAATATTTAATTGAATCTAATAGGGTCAGTTAGGGTAAAGGGGGACAAGAGGTTTTGGAGTTTAATTTACAGTTTTAAAATTAAGTTCTACGTCAATATTTTAACCCCAGATCACCTGCAAGAGGTTTTGAGTATTACCAAGCTTTTATCTCGACAATTAGCAGCAAGATAATTCAAGTTATCGCTCAATGCATGAAAACTTGAAAATTAAAGTCAAACTGTTTCAGTATTTTGTCGAGCATTTCAAAGAAAACAGACTTAAATATATAACTTAAAAAAAATAAACCCGTACCTTTTAAAGAAAGAAAGTTACGTAATTTGTGAAAAATAGCGATTTTGTCCCCATTTACATCAACTGACCCTATATGAATTTATTTAACACAAATAATTTGTTACTTAAAAAACTTAATTTATTTATTTCAATTAAATACTTCATTTTTTTGTAAGTATAAATTATTTGACACTGAAATAAATAAATATTTAATTGAAACAAAAATAGCGAGTTATTCAAAACTCAAACTTAATTTATTGACTTAAGTAAATATAATTACTTAATGCAAATTTTTTTTCTTTAACTTAAAAATTATTAATAACCATCAATTAAATATTCACACATATATATTTTAATTTACTTACTATTATGTGCCTTTTGTTATTTATTTTATATAAAATTATATTTATTTTAATTAATTTTTAATAAAATTATATATTTATTCTGATAAAATATACTTATTTTAAAACGTTTATATAGTAAGAATACTCGAAATTTAAAGTCAATAAATATTTTCATTTTTTTATGTGTTGACATATATGTATAAAAAATTTAAGATTTAAATATTATTTTAAAATGAAGTATTTCTAAAAAACAGATATTTTAAAATCAAATAGTTGAAATATTTATGTAAATTATGTACTTTTAACTCTTCCAATTTATAAAGACATGTCGAATAAAAAATTGCTATTGCTAATTGTTATATCTCAATTTTTTGAGGTTCGGTCTCTATAGGGTTCAAATTTTAATTTAATATTTAATGTTAAAAAAATTTATTTAAGATTCGAAAACAATGGAAAGAAGGTTTCTCTAGAGTGGAGATCTGTAAAACAAATATTATTGAGAAAACGGAGAAAGGCTGGATTCTGCCGTCCTAAAACATTAGAAGAGTTAGCAGGTTACTTGTTGAAAAATTCAAAGTTAAAACTCATTTTTAAAGGTGTAGTAAAGCATGGAACACAAATGGCATTACTCTTCTCTACGGATAAACTTATCAGCGAATTAAATAGACAAACTGAAGTTTATATGGATGGAACATTCGAAGTAATGTTATGTTTTTAATTTTGGTATTGATCGTATTACTTATTTTAATTATAATTCTATATGACAGGAAATATTTTTATTTAAAATTTGTTATATTCCCGGTAGAAATTTTAACTCAATACTACCCAGGTGGAAAAGTTCCCGGTAGTGACTACCGGGAACTTTTCCACCTGGGTAGGAAATTATTTTAATTTGACTAACTTTAAATGTGGTGTTGGATCAACTATAATTTTTAATGATTGGTCTGACTACTTTTTTCATCTTCAACCGATGGTTAAAATTCGAATTTTTTATTATGAATGTTTGTTAGGTTTGTCCCAAAATTGCAAAAATCTGCCAACTTTACACAATTGTGATGCGTGTAAATGACAAGGTATGTAGACATACATTTGGTTAAATTCATAAAAATAATGTAGTACATAAGATACACTCTCTAGTTGAAATTTTCCTTTTAAAAACTTTTCCGAGATATATAGATATATATATATATTTATATATACTAGGGGGACTCGCCCCCCTGCGCACTTCACGCGCCAACTTCCTGTTTTTGATTGTTTTTGTAGATGGCCTTAGGACCTATTTTGAGTTAATGTTAGGCAAATTTCTGGAATTTAAAACTATTATTAATATTTTATTACTTATTTTTTTAAATGTTATTCATGATCTTTATTAATATTAGTTTTTATTATTTTCAATTTTTAAAACAAAATTTATCTATTTTTTTAAATTTTCCTGCTAAAATTTGACATACATTTGAGGTTATTTTCGTTTTTTGGTCATTTTCCTTCAAAGTTTGACCTAAATTTTGAGGTTATGTTTGTTTCTTGGTCTTTTTGCGCCAAATTTTGGCCTAAATTTTGAGGTTATGTTTGCTTCTTGGTCGTTTCCCGCCAAAACAACTTAACTTTAAAATTTAGTTTAATTTCGACGAAAAATCAACCTCCCCTTAAACGTAAGGAAGGGGGGGGGCTTTCGACTATATTCACAGTCTTGAAACGAACATAACCTCAAAATTTACGTCATTTTCGGCGTTTTCGGCGGAAAATTCTGGGAGAGAGAGGAGGGGAGAGGGAAGGACTTGCGGCTCTATTCAGAGTCTTGAAACAAACATAATCTCAATATGTAGGTCATTTTTGTCTGGGGAGGGGGGAGGAGTTTCGGCCCTATTCAGTTTTGACACTAACATAACCTTAAAATTAAGATCACTTTTGGCGGGAAATACGAAGAGAGGGGAGGGGGAGGATTTGCGGCTAAATTCAGAGTCTTGAAACGAACATAACCTCAAAATTTTGGTCTTTTTTGGCGAGAAGAGGGGGGGACTTCGAGATATGAATTTTTCAAAATTTCAGAATTATAATGACTATATAAAATTTTGACAACTTATAACCAACCTACAACTCTCTTAACATCAGTTACTTTTTTCAAAAAAAGTATGTCATATCTTCACAGAGTGTTGGAGCTGTATTCATTTTGATGACTAGGCGAACAAAATTGTTATATAAAGCAGTTTTAATTAAAATTCAAGAACTTTGTCCAAATTTGAAAAATAACCTAGAACACAGCATGCTTGATTTTGAATCCGCTGTCCAAACAGCAATAAAAGAATTATTTCCAAAATGGCAAATTCACGGTTGTTGGTTTCATTCAAAAAAGGTAAAATTTACAATAAAAATAAATGTTAGATTGAGACAATAAGCAGGTCCAAAGTCCATTAATTTTATCCCTGTAAAAAAATACTGATGAATTTAAAAGAAATAAAATGACTGAAATTCAAATTAGTGACCCCACAAAAGATACACAGGGAAACAAGTCATGTTCCACTTTTTAATACTTTGCAGTTTTGTAACTTATAATCTCCTGAACAAAAAATTTTAATGGCGAAACCCCCGAAAATTAATAATTTTTCAGCCATTGAGCCTAAAAAAATAATCTCAAGGCTTGACTGTGACTTGAAGCTTAGATGTGGTTGATTAGGGATCAAGGCTTGTGCAAGGCTGAAGGCTTGATCCAGACTATGAATTAGGGCTCAATGCTTGATCAAGACTGTGAATCATGGCTCGAATTGATCAAGGCTCAAGATTTAATTGAGACTTTTTATCATGTCTCAAGGCTTAATTCAGTCTTTTTATAATGGCTCACGGCTCAATTCAGACTCTGAATAATAGCTCTAGACTTGATAATGGCTCAAGACTTAATTCAGACTATTTATCATGGCTCAACGCTTAATTCAAACTCTGAATTATGGCTCAAACATTGATCATGGCTCAATGTTTGATCAAGACTCAAACCATGAACAAGTCTTGAGACATAATCAAGTCTCTTAATCACCCCTGTGCCATGATCATTTCTTGAACCATTATAAAAAGACATACTATTTAAAAAAATTTAAGTCTGTAGCCCTTTTGGTTTCTAAATATTTAGGATATATTAACATTATTACAGAAACAAGTATTTTTAACAGATTATTTTTAGATTCTTGGTATCAAATAATATTAAAATGCGTAAAAAATTCACAATAGAAAAATTTGACCAACACAATATTTTTTTTCTGTAAAGCAATAAAAGATAATTTTTTTATTTAACATTTATGGGACTGACAAGGTACCCGGGTACCTTTTGCATTTTCAAATTGATTTTTTTCATAATTTTTAAAATCGTATCGACCTAAGGTTTTTTGACATCTCAAATTTATCCAAAGTGTTTTAATATTATTTATAATGTACCTTTTTTATTTATTTATTCAGAAATATTAAATAAAGTTTCTTCACCCGCATAATTTTTTTATAAAATATGTAATTTAGTTACTATAGTTAAATAATTATATTCATAAGAAATCGTCAGTTTTTAACTTAAAAATTACTATAAAAATGAAGTTTGAATAGAATTAATTTGTATTAAAAATGTATTTTAAATAATAAAAAATAAATTTTTTACATTTTTATATTTGATTTCATAAATAATCTGCCTAAATATGTACCTGTTTTGCAATCTAGAAAATAGTATATACACGGATACTATTTAATGAAAGATCAATGAAATTGTGAATATATACAAAATACTTAATACGTAATGGACAGTTTTTTAATAATCAACTAATAATGATAATGTTTTATTAGCAAACAAATCTTATTTTAAGATGAGTCTTAAAATCATCGCTAGTAGTTTTAATGGAAATTGCATTGGGTAAATTCAGCAAAGCTGCCTTAAAAATGTTGCCTCTTAAAATAAGACCTGTTTTCGGTCTTAAAATAAGACTTCTTTTTGCAGTGTATTCATATTATGTGATTACTACTTTCATTGAAACGTTCACTACACTTAAAGTTAATGGAACTGCTCATTTTGATATAAAATCTTCAATAAATTAAACGTAGGTACCCGGGCACCTCGTCCGCCCATAGAAGGTGTTTTTTTTCTCAGTCCCATAAAGGTTAAAAATTATAATATTCTCATTATATTTTAATTTAAAGGCTATGAAAAAACGTTGGAAAACTTTAAAATTAAAAGAAGCAGATAATATAATTTTAAATTACGCATGCTGTCTGGCATTAGCGCCGGCTGAACGTTATTATGATGGTTTAGAAATAATCAAGAACAAAATTTATGAATATAAACGTGTTTATCACCCGAAACTAAAAAAATTCATTAAATATTTGAAACAATACTGGGGAAGAAGGAAAGCAATTTTGTGCGTTGGGCATTTACCTCATCGAACCAACAATCTCTGCGAGTCACAAAATAGCAGACTGCAAAGTAAATTAGGAGGAAGTCATCCACAAATATGGAACTTTACAGGTGTTTAAATTTCACAAATAGTTTTAGTAAATTACTTAAGTTAGTTAATTAGGCAGATGAATTAATAGATTTTTTGCTTCCTGATCAGGGTGGCCATTACAATTTGCGAACAAAATTCAAGGCTTTTTTCGGTTTTAAACAAAGAGTTCTAGGATTTTGAAATTGAGATTTATATATCATATAATTTTAAATAGTTATAATATTAAAACAAGGCTTATTTTAAGTGCTAGTCAGAAATGTAGCACTAAGGAAAATATACATTCTTTAATTCTGGCATTAAAACGATAATCAATTTGTTTAATATCGTTTGAAAGTTACAAAAAAAATTTTTAATTTAAATTTGGACAAAATTTTTAACAGAAATACTCTTGTTTCTGTAAACAAAATTAACACTTGTACTGCATTGTTACTTGTAATCTATTGTGAAATATGTAATATATTTTGAAAAAGTCAAAATTTTACCAAAAATTTCGAAAGCAAATATTGGAAAAAATTTTAAAAATTACAAATTATAAAAAAAATGTTTTAATAAATTTATGGGAAAATGTTACTCATTAAAGTCGTGTAGTACAATTTTTACATTATCAACATTTTAATTTAATAATTTTCATGGTTAAAAATTGGTCTTATCTGCTTTCAGATCAAAACTTATTAATTATTTTGGAAAATTCCTAGTACTGTTTAGCACAATTTTTAATTTTTACAATTTGTGTTTTTTAATCAATCAGTTATAAAATATGTTTTCACATATTCTTAGTCAAATTTTCATTTTTCCAAAAAGCGATTTACTTCAAGGTATACGAAAAATTTGGGAAAATTAAAAAACAAGTTTCAATTGAAACAAATCAAAATGACAATTTTAAAAAAAATTGCAAGGTTGAATAAAAAATTCAGGGCGAATTCACGATTTTTTTGATGTGTAATTAAATTAACAACGTTTTTCTTGTTTTCAAGGTTTCAAAGTTTGTTGGCCACCCTACTGATGATTATATTTTTAAAGTCTTATTGTAATAATAAACAATATAAACATATTCTTCTCTATTTTTCTATGAAAATTTATCCTTATTGCCTATTAACATGCTTATTAAAAATTAAGCTTAATTAAATAATTAAACAAAATTATGAATAATTTTTATATTTCCTAATAATTAATATAATTAATTTATGTTATTTTTTAAAAGTATTAACATAGTTTTCTTTTAATATTGTAGTTCAGTTGAAAAAAACATTAGCTATAGAGGAAAGAAGGTTAGTTGCTTTGCATGCAGGACAGTTTATTGGTACAGTCATGACCGAAAATGATAAGAGGAGAGACAGAATAATATTTAGGGCTCAATTAAATTTATTAAATACAGGGTTTGAATAATATTATTTATAAAAGTTTATAATAATAGATATAGATTCTTTATAAGGAAATATGGTATCTTTGCGTGATCGATAATCGATGCGCATATTTTCTTATATAATTCAGTCTATTTAATGTATTGTATAATTCTATTTTAAAAATTAAAACTTTTTGTAGTGATCTGGAGGAGTTTTTCAAAACTTGCGTAGACGCATAAAATAAATATTTTCTTTCAACAATTTCTTTACATCAGTGGTTTCTACAACCCTTAAATTTTTTTAAAGAGAAAATCAATGGAAAAAAGTAAATAAGCAACATAAATTTTTATATCATAGTTGCTCAACTTTAGAACTTTTAAAAAATCGAACATTTTTTTCCTTAAAAAGATATCATAGAGTATCAAGAAAAAATCAACAATAAACATTACAAAGGTAAAACATTTTTTTAAAAACTTAAATTTTAATTCTGTACACGAAATATGCAAACAAGGCTTTAAACGCCTTTTACTAAAATATGTACTTTGAACATCAGTTGATACAGAACAATTTTTATTTGTTTTTCCTCATTCTTTTTTAATTTTATTTATGATATATTGTAGTGGAATTGATTAAAAAAAACGTTTGATGAAAAAAATAATTATTTTCTTTTTTGTTTACTATTCATACTTGACTGCACTTTTGTGTGTTATTCTGCGTTTTATTATTAAACATTGAATTATTTAAATAAAAGTCAAATGTTAATATAGTTCTACTTCAGTAACAGCAAAAGTTTCATTCCTCAAGTTGATCCATGAAGAATGTAATCAATTTTCTAATTGATTTATCCTTTTTTTACACATTTCAAGATTCAATTTTGTACAGGGCATCACAAAATCGTCTCCACCGGCATCCACCGACCCTTCAATATTTAAAAAAAAATAGAATATAATTAAATAATAAAGGTTAAATAAAGTGTAGTTATATTATTTTAGTCTATATATATGTGAAACCACCATGGATATTTATTTCTTGACACTTTATCTTCAAAAATATGTATTTATATTTATCATTTCGATAAAAAAATATTTTTAAAGTTTCAGACACCAAATCGTGTGCTACGCGGAGAATCCCCCATATATATATATATATATATATATATAATATTAATTATAATTCATTTTATATTTATTTATAATAATAATTATTATATATAATTTATCGCAATACGTACGGGTTTTTGAAATATTGTACGTAAAAATTTCTTTTATTATTAATTAATTCTGAAAAATTCTTTAGAAACTTATTTTACGTGGTCAATAGTTTAAATAGTTTACTTTGAAGCGAAAATAATATACGAATAAAAATAAAAAGAACAAAACATCAAATAAAACATCTAACTTCAAATTATTGATTGACAGAACAGAACTCATTGTGGTTATTATTAGAATTATTTAAAATTTTTATTTCAATAAATGAATTTATAATTCTCTAACGATGACCGAAATAAAAGGAAAATTGAGAACATCAAAAATTATTATAATGAATAATTAAACGTATTATGTGTCCTCCTCTAACAAAAAAACAGCATATTGTGCTCTACGAACAAAATTTTGCCGTTCAAAAATTAATTATATTGATGGGGAATGGATAGCTGATAAAGAAGACCATAATCATGATGCTCCACAAAATGATATTCTTGCTCAAAAAAAAGCAGAGGAACAAATTTTGGAATTGTGTAGAACAACCACGGATAACCTTAAAACTATATTTGACGATGTTTGCAAAAGGTATTTAGTCTTTTTTAAATTTATAAAAAATTATTAAAAACATAAATTCCATTATAATTAATAATTTGCAGTATAAATTATATAAGTTTATTTGTTTTATGACCGAGGTCAATACAAAGAGGTTGCTGCAGTGTTTACAATTCGCTTATATTAACTTAACATTATTAACATCATCAATTTAATTCCCAATCTTTTCACACATAGCCTTAATATAATAATATAGGTTTTTCATTTCATCATTTTGTGGTTTTTCCAACATATTAAGAAAAGTGGTTTTGACAATCGAGTCGTCCTGATCCTCACTGATATATCTTCCTCTCTCTACAAGTAGAGAGGGACATTCAATTAAGAGATGAAAAAACATTTCTGTAATGTTAACGCCACATTCACTGCAGTTTCCAGACACACCCAAACTATAAGTATTTTTGTTTATTTTAATTTTAGTAACTATATTATTTAATAAACGGATTTGGCTTAAAACCCGGATGTAATCTAATGAGATTTTATTTTGAAAGTATTTTTGTGGACCTTTAAATAATACCAAGTGTGGGAAGATCTGCAGGGAACGGGACTCATTTTTCCTTTTTATATCTTCTGAATACAGATAGCTTTCATATTTATTTATCCAATGTTTTTTTTTAATTTGTAACCTAGTGACAGTGAGGTTCTCCCATTCCATCTTCTCCTCTATTAAATCGAATATCCCTCCCACCTGCTTGTACCAATTGAACTTGGAATCACTTTTTGGTTCCCGAGCCAACTGTCTCAAACGCAAAAAACAAATCTTGGGGTATCTGGAGTCTTCCATTAGTAGAATTTTTTCAATTAAGTTTAGCGTATATTTAAAGACTAATACAGATAATCTAGGTACTCCTGTCTCGAGTCTCACAGCATAATTAGGTGTATTTTGCGGCAAATGTAAAATTTTTTTATAAAATGAGTTCTGAATTTTTTCAATTTCTTCTAAATATCTTAAGCCCCAAATTTGAATTACATAAGTTAAATTGCTTACTGTGAGACTTTTGAATAATTTGTTGACAGGATCCCAAGCTTTTAATTGTAAACGATTAATTAATGAGACAGTTGCCCCAAGAGCCAAGTTTGCCTTACTAATAGCAGTGTTAGCAGCGTTTAAAAAAATTGCCGAATTCGAGAAGGTAACACCTAAATAATCATAATTTGAAACTACCTCAATTTTTTGTTTATCGTCGTACATAAAAGTTCCGTACTTGTGATTATGACAATGTCCACCCTTTCTAAAGATTATCATTTGGGTTTTTTTAACATTTATTTCTAGTTTTTTTAGGACACAGTATTTTTTCAACGCTTTTATAATTTTTCTCATTTCCACACATGTATCAGCAGGAATTGCAATGTCGTCAGCATACGCATACAGTACTATCTCTGTAAGGTGATTCACAGAAACACCTCTAATCCCCTCTGCCCTTAGGAACTCTTCGAAGTCCGCTATAAAACAAGAAAAAAGTAAAGGGCTCAAAACCTCTCCCTGTAAGACTCCGAGAGTGACTCTAGTATATTCCGAGATACCAGAGGACCCCTTGACCGCAATTTCAGCCTTGGAATATAAATCTATCAATATATTAATGAATTTATTACCCAGCCCCATTTTAGATAATTTATCCCATAGTAAACTGTGTGTAACTGAGGGGAAGGCACCACGAAAATCTATAAATAATACGAACAATTTTCCACCAGAGCGGTGCAAGCGAGACTGTATTGTTGCGTTAAGAGCAAAAATGTTGTCAATGCAACTTCTATTTTTCCTGAATCCCGCTTGCCACTCCGGCAGGAAGCCATTGTCCTCAACCCATTCATTTAACCTTCCCGCGAGTATTTGCGTAAAAATCTTAGCTATGGTGTTTACTAAAGCGATTGGACGATAATTCTCCGGGTTTGATTTCTCTCCCTTTTTATAAATCATTTTAGCTAAAATTTTTGCCCACGAATTTGGAACTTGTTCTTTGTCCATTATTTTATTAAATAAGTTTGTCAAATAATTAATCCAATTCTCTGGGAGACTTTTCCAAAATTCATAGGAGATACCATCAGAACCCGGGGACTTACCCTCCCTGCATTTTTTAAGGCTCATCTCTATATCTATATGATTTATTCTTTTCTCTAAGTAAGGGTTACTCAATGGCATCATAATCACAGGAACATTCGAAACCAGGGGAAAAACTGATTGAAAGTAATTATGCCATTCCTTTAAATTAATTTGATCTCTTACGGAAAATCGGGATCTATACATATTTATAATTTTCCAAAAATTATTAGAATCCCTTACAGAGGATAGCCTATCCAATAAACAATTTTTATACTCTTCTTTTTTATTTTTTTGTAAACATTTATATTCTTTTTTAATTTCATTATAATCCTTGACCATCTCCAACGAAGCAAAATTATTATTTTTACATTTTTTAAGTAAATTTTTTAAATTATTTTTAAGGGTGACACACTCACTATCAAACCATGGTTTGGATTTAATATTAACCGCTTTAACTTTATTTTGCATTCCTAAATTATATGCTTTTTCGTAGATACATTCAACCATAATATTCGATATATCATTAACGTCTTCATTATTCTCTATTTCTATAATTGTGTTGCTCATGAGAGACTTATATTCTTCTTTTAATTCCCCTTTCCATTTTAAACAAAACAATTCTTTTTCAATTTTATTTCTATCATTTATATCAAATAATTTTATCGATATTGGAAAATGATCCGATGTCGTAGTGATACAATGGACAAAGAAATTTTTAACCTCACACAACCCCGCGAAATTAGTCCACGCAAGATCTATTGTTGATTTTCCAACTGTACTCACGAATGTATATTGCGAAGGGTTGTCCCCCCTGGTCCTCCCATTCAAGACAATAAACGCGTTTCTTTCCATAAATTCTACCAATTTTTTACCCCTTGTGTCCAATTTCTCGTCTAGATTATATCTTATGCTATTTAGAAAAAAATTTTCTTCAATTACCTGATTTGTTAATTGGTTTAAATTTGCTATTCGAGAATTGAAATCACCTCCAATATAAAAGGGTAAATTAGGATATTTTATAATTACTTGCTCTATCAGATCTTCGAAACTTGATAAAAAAACATCAATATCTTTCGTTGGAGAAATATAAACAGATGACACAATAAATTCAAATTTCGAATCTCTATTAAGAAATTTAGCAGTTATACACTCTTCAGTTTTACTTATTATTTCCGCGTTATATTAACGATTATAATTTTTGATTTACAATTTAAAGAAAGAAAAAAAAACCAAAATGACAACTAATGATGAGTTGAAAGAATTATTATTAACTTTAAATAAAAAAATGGATACGGTGGAAAGTGAAATTGGTGCTCTAAGATTAGAAAATGTGAAAATTGCAAAAAGTGTTTCCGAACAAAATGTGAAATTCAAAAAGTTAAAACAGGAAAATGAACATCTTGCAAAAAAAGTGAGTGTGTGTGAGGATAAAATAGATTGGCTATTGAACAACGAGAAGAAAAACAATATCATCCTGTTCAAGGTAAAGGATACTCCAGAGGAAAATTCAAATCTGATGGAAACGGTGAAAATGATCTTTGAAAAAACTGAGGTAATAATTCAGGAAAAAGACATTATCGAAGTAAGAAGATTGGGCAAAGTAGAGGGAAAAAGACCGATTCTGATCTCTTTTACTGACCAAAAATGCAAAAAACAAATTTTCCAAAAAGCAAAAAATTTTGGGAATTTGAAGTTAAGTTTCGCTAACGACATGACAAGGGAATTGAGGGAAAAAAAGAAACTCCAATATAATAAACTACGAGAAGCAAAAATAATTCTGGAAGAACAAGGAAAGGTGGCTCTAATTAAGGGGCCAAAAATATTAATGGATAACGTTTATTATGACATGGATGATCTTCATCAACTTCTACCCCCTTCCCAAGTTCATATGCGTGAAATAGATGACAATTATAGTGGAGATAGTGAAGATTCCACCATATCAAGATCATCAACATTGAGCAGAAAAAGGGGTAGACCAACCGGATCCAAATCTTTGAAGAGTAAAAAACTGAGATCTTTGCATTCTGGGAAAAAACTCGAAGAATTTTTCCAGTCAACTGTAGCCAATGAAGAACACAAACGCTCTACATAGCAATCCTTATATAAAGTCTCGTCAAAAATTATATTTTGGAATGTAAAGGGCATTGGAAACGTAGCTGATCTGATACCAATCTTCAATAACAACGATATTATCTGTCTGAGTGAGACATGGGCAGTATAAATTATAATAATTATTATATTATTTTATACAATATAAATATGTTTATAATAATTAGTGTAACTTACATAATTAAAAAAAATATTTCAATTTTGAAAATAATATTATAATTTTTTATTTGATTTAATAGTAATGATTAAATATTATTAAAAATAAATTAATAATGATCAATCATATTAACTGAGAATTAAAAATAAGTAGTAATAAATAATAATAAATTGTAGTTTAATAATAATTAATAACAATAAATATTCATAATTAATTGTAATTAGTTTTAAATGATAATAATAATTCTAATTAATGAAATGAAATGATTATCAATATTATAATTAATTTTTAATCATTAATAAATAACAATTTCTCTCAGCATGGGATATCACATAGATAACTTTTTTTGTCCTGCGATATAAATAGTGATAAATAATAATTATAAAAATAGAATGACAGATTAAAAAATCAAATTAAACTTAAAGATGTTTATTCACGGAAATTTTTATCCTATGCAAATTGTATAAACAAATAAATTTTTTAAGTTTTAAATTTTTTTCTTGAAAATTGATATTTCTTCTTTCAGAAACTACAATTAATAATATTATTTTAATTATTTAAATATTAATTAATTTTTTTTTTCTGAAGGTCTGCATTTCCGTGGATAAACTTCCTTAAATAATTATTTATTTACAAAATATAAATGTTTAATTAATGTATTTAGAGAAAAAGTAACTTTATCCTACAATGGCTTACGGCCTCGTATGACCAAAGCAAGAAATGACAAATCGCTGGAAATAAAAACAAGTACTCAATTTTTCAAAATGATTAAGAGCATTTGAACCTTCGTGACGTCACAAATCATGGCGCATGACACGCAAACTTCTCAGGTATGTGAAAAGCACAATTTTGAATATTTTTTAAAAAAACCTTTTGGAAAATGTTCAGAATAACATAGACTCTGTCTGTTATGTGCGGAAAATTCAAAATTTTGCGTTTAAAACGTTTTTTAAACAATGTTAAGGTCACAAATCATGGCGCATGACACGCAAACTTCTCAGGTATGTGAAAAACACAATTTTGAATATTTTTTAAAAAAACCTTTTGGAAAATGTTCAGAGAAACATAGACTATGTCTGTTATGTGCGAAAAATTCAAAATTTTGCGTATAAAACGTTTTTTAAATAATGTTTAAGTTGGTTGTCACAAGTAAGGAAAAATACACGAATTGCTTATATGTAGGCATTGTTTAAAAAACGTTTTAAACGCAAAATTTTGAATTTTTCGCACATAACAGACATAGTCTATGTTTCTCTGAACATTTTCCAAAAGGTTTTTTTAAAAAATATTCAAAATTGTGTTTTTCACATACCTGAGAAGTTTGCGTGTCATGCGCCATGATTTGTGACCTTAACATTGTTTAAAAAACGTTTTAAACGCAAAATTTTGAATTTTCCGCACATAACAGACAGAGTCTATGTTATTCTGAACATTTTCCAAAAGGTTTTTTTAAAAAATATTCAAAATTGTGCTTTTCACATACCTGAGAAGTTTGCGTGTCATGCGCCATGATTTGTGACGTCACGAAGGTTCAAATGCTCTTAAAGTGATGCAACTTCATTTCAAGTCAGTAGCACCTGGTGCTGAAATTTTGAAGTTAACTACAATTAAAAGCGACATTCAAACGCTATTCATTGATTATTCCTTTCAGGTTATTTTTAAAATGATTTTATTTAGTATATATAATACTTATTTTGTCATTATTAAATGGACTTAAAAATTTCCTATATATTTAATTTTCAATAAAGCACTTAACCTTCCCTGACAGGATACCCACCCAGGGTGGGTCAGACCAAATGGACAATGTCATATCTTCTAAAGTTTTGCCTAAATTGAATCGCGATTTTAATTTACTGAACAAAGTCTTAATAATTTTAAAAAAATGGAAAAACAAATTTTTTTTAATTTCTTCTTGATTATTTATAACTTTTATTAATGTATGTACGGAGATAAACGGTATGATTCAAATATTTTTTTAATTCTAGTTTACAAAAAAACTTGAAATTATCCATACTTTTCATTGTAAGTGTCTTATGTTGTCAAATAATGGATATAAAAATATTATATTGCATTTTTTATTTGTTTAATCAATTTATTGTGGTTATTTATCAACTTTTTTGTTCTGCATCTAGAAAGATGCAGTTTTTTTCTAATTTTGCAATTTATCAAGCCGATTATAATAAAAGATATAGATTTCTTCTGAAACTACTGTTTTATTAATTGTTTTAAACAAATAAATATTGCTATTTACTTACTTTTTTTCATCGTACCCAGAAAAATGCAATTTTTTTAAATTTTGCAATTCAACACCGAAAAAAAAATATTCTTGTATTCAGAGGAAAATTCCTCTTACAGAATCCTCTTGAATTTTATTCTTAAAACAAGAGTATTACTCTTTAAATAAGAATATTTTCCTCTAATTTCAAGAAGATCGAAACAAAAGGACTATTCTAGGGCATTCCTCTTATATTCAGAATAATCTTTTTAGAATAAAGATAATACTCTTAGAATTTAGAATAATCTTCTATGTTTAAGAATATTCCTCTAAATTCTTAGAGGATTTCCCATAGAAAGTCGCCCATGCGCAAAGATGATTGCGTCATAAATCGCATATCATGCGTAAAAAAGTTTTAGTTTCTGTGTAAAAAAAGGGGAATTAAACAAAATGGATAATAATAATCTTTTAAATATCTTGATAGAGTTGCAACATACCCAATACATGCCTATTTTTGAAGGTAAAAGGAATTTTTAAAAGTAATTTTTAAAAAAATTTAAATAATTTTGAGATTATGCTATTTAAAATTTTATTTTATTACGATTTTTATTTATTTTAATTTTATTTAAAATTTATTTAAAATAAATTTTTAAATTTAATGAATTATATGTTTTGCGCATAAAAATATTATTAAAAATAGATTTAGTTGATTTATTCAAAAAAATTAAAATCAATTTCAATTTATTTATACTCAAATAGTTGTAAATCATGGAATAACAAATTTTATTCCTTTTAATTTTATAGATTATATCTATGACATAAAAATTAGATGATTGCATTTTTATTATTTCAGAGTTCTTTTTAAGATGATATTTTCCTTTTAAAATAAGAGTATCCTCTTAAATTAAGAGGCATAATTTTACATAGAGGACAATCCTCTTAAACCTAGAGGACATCCTTTTGCAGCATATACTAGAGGAAAATATGCATTGAAATAAGAGGAATCCTCTTGAAACAAGAGGATTTTTTTTTCGGTGAATAAGCTAAATATAATATAATTGCAACTTTCTATGAATATTATGAAAAATGTTAATAAATAGCAACAATTATTTGTTTAAACAATTTATAATAATAGTTGTTGCAAATTTAATAATATATTTTACTTTATTTATAACCTTTAAATTAATAACTTCGAAGAAAAGGTAACAAAGTTTTAAAATTCTGCTACTGTCTATGTATATTTGAAAGCGGTAAGAATTACTAATAATAAATTGTTTAAAGTTTAAACAAATAAAAAATGGACAAAATATTAATAAAATATATTATTTGGTAACATATAACAATTTCGGAATCAAACTGGATGATTCCAAATTTTTATTGCAATATACAAAGAAGAAAATATTTGACCCACCCTGGGTGGATTCTTGTCAACCGCGTATATAAAAATCTCCTGTCCGGCAAAGGTTAATATCTCTTATTCATAACAGTTTTTAAACTATTTATTGTATTTTTTGCAGTTGGTTTTTGAAAAGGTGAAATTATATTTTATCAATTTTATTGCAGAAAATAGAGGAAAAGTAAGTTCCATAAAATTAATAGAAAAATTATTGATAAAGAAATTTAGTTCAATTTAAAAGAAAATTTATGTTACATTTTTTAACTGAAAGTAAAGGTTTAATCCTTTCTAAATATTCATAAAATATCTATTTTCAATTTAAAGGCTTTTATTTTATTTTGTGCTGTAACGGTCTCTTTAAATACGAATGTAACACATCAAATAATAAAGGAAGTGATGGCAGTAGAATGCTTGAAAAACGTCGAAACAATTGTGGGACCTTACGATGCCGATATTAAAAGGATTTATAAACACATTTTGCCTACCATAAAATATGTGAGCAGTTGGTATCACTTTCGACAAGTATGTAATACATTATTACGAATTTGAAGTCAGAGATTCAAAATTCAATATAACAGAACCAATTTTTCAAAAATTAATTTTTTTAATCATATTCATAAACTCTAAAAAACTTCTAGCAATAACTTCTAAGAAAATTTCACCCTTCATATTTTTTGATAAACTAATTTTTTTAAGGTTACCTTTTTTTAATCTTATATTTTAGACATCTAATCTCGAACTTTGAGGTTCTTTATTCTTAAACACCTTAAAAAAACATATTTTGACAGATCATAAAGGAAATATGGGCGAGAAATTTTTTAACAAATGATTTGAATGGAATCTTTAGTGCAGCATTTGTTATTCCTTTATTTCCTGCGAATTTTTTGTTAGATGCTTATCGAGAGTTTACAAACCTAGCGGAAAAATCAGAAGAGCTCAAAGGATTTTTAAATGAAGTACTAGTAGTTATTACAAATTTAGCTTCTGAAATTAGCATTGATATTGAAGATCAAAAGAAATATCTAAATGTTTTTGAAATCTGCGAAAAGCAGTTTGATGTAGTTAAAAGAAGCAAGTCACTAGGAAACTTATTCGGTAGTTATTTACTGATAATTTGTTTTATTTTAATTTAATACATAATTAACTTATAATTTTTCTTAATATAATGTGTTTAAAAAATTATATGCTTTTCACTTATAAGAGAAAAAAATTTTGTTTAAATGAAATATATAAATTTTAATTTACCTAATTTTTGGTTACTTTATAATAAAAACATTAAACTGAAATACAAATAAATTATACAATTTTTAATTACTAAAAGTAAAACAACAAAATTTTTATTATTTATCTTTTTAAAAACCTTTGCTATTTTATTTATTTAAAAAAAAATAAATTTCATTTCTATTTTCTATTTTTTAACTACAATATTTACAGAAAATCTAGAAAATTTATTAACTGAACAACAAAAAACGAAAATTAAATCTGAGCTTTGCGCAATCTTAAAGGATACTATCCATAAATTGCAGAATGTCCCCAGGTTAGAATACTTCATGTGATATTACATTGAAGGGATATTTCTATCTCTTAAAAATATTTTAGGATGTTCTAGAGATATTTCATGAGATATACAAAGAATATCTATTTGTTTTATTGGTATAGTATGATATTCTAAATTAGTAATTGGTATTGATATTCTAAATGAAAGTATAAAAATAAGTTTGGTGAAATAAAGTAAGTTACGTATTTTTAATTTAAATTTAAATTTCATTTAATATATTAAAAATATTTACTTAAATAACAAGTTTAGGGGGAGAGTGGGAGAAAACCGGGTACCTTTTTGTAATTATCGGTTTACAAAAAATCTATCAAACAAATTAGTTTAAATCTTGTTGAAAATTCTTCATTGAACATTAGAGAATGAAAAAATAAGGCTGATGGCATTAAAAAGAATTTTTTGATCAATTTAAATCAGATTTTTCAAAAAAATGCAGTACCATCAAGAAAGAAAATATTTAAATCAAGGAATATTCTTTAACTTTTTATTCAATTATTCTTATATATAACTTACATTATAGAAAATAATTAATATTCAATAAATTTAATCAAAATATATTATTTTAATAACGAATAACAGCAGTTAAATGTTTGAAAATGAAATTTTTAATATTTTTATTAATGTTTCATCGTTTATTCATCGATATGGTAAAAAATTGATATATCGAAAGTTAAACATCGATCTCAAAATATACGTCGATTCTTAATAAAATTTAAATATGTATATTGTAATGTATTTGAATATACCCGATTTCGCCCCACCGTTTGGTAACCGGTTTTGCCTCACAATGAATTTTTTAACAAAATGTAAAATTTTCAGCTTATTGTTAATAATTTAACAATTACTTTTAAGGAAAATTACTCGTAAATAAATGCTAAAAAAGCTGCTATACTTGCCGAAACGAATATATCAATACAAAAAGTTTTATAAGTGATTTACTTTTGATAAAAAATAGATTTTTTTACCTAAAATTTAAAAGCCGCATAAAATATAATAAATAAATTTTTATATAGTGGTTATGTAATTAAAATTATATTGGTTGTAATATGTAATTGTAACCCATTACATATGTAATGGGTGACACAAATGGAAATACCTATCATGGAAATCTAGGGGTACCCGGTTTGACCCGTATAACTGGTTTTGCCCCACTCTCCTCTATATTTAAAACATTTATTTTATCATCACGAAAAAATATATCTATCTATTTTATAAAATTCGATATTAAAATTTAAAAAATAAAGCTTTAACTAATCTAAATACCTATACGTTTAAATCTTTAAAATAAATATTTTAATTTGGGTAAAAAATATGTTAGAATTGAACTAAAATAAGTCTAATTGTACAACTATTTGAATATATGTATATAGAAATTTTCCTAATACTTCATTCTCGTTTCACTTAATAATTTAGCTAAATTTCTTAGTTTACGAAAAAAAATATAAAAAGTAAATACATTATAATAATAAAGTTTTAAACGAATTATAAAATAATATAATTAATAATGCAGATTGACCGCCAAAGAAGCATTTAAAATTATGCATGAGCTCCTCAAAAAACGTTACAAGCCCAAGAAACGTTAGTAAAATTTTGTTAAATTATAAATTAAATGAATAACTGTTTGTTTAAGTAACTACTAGAATATTGATATATATTTAAACTAAAGCTTAATTTTTTATATTTCAAATAATTATTACCGTTTTGATTTTTAGTTCCAACTACAATAAAGTTTCGTAAAACAAACTTTGACGTAACATCTTTAGAGAATGATGACGATGAAAATAATACAAGTGAAAAATCAAGCGCTGAAGAATCCGATGCTGAAACAATGGATTCAGATTTGGATGAAGGTGTGTGTGCTCTACTTTCTTAGAAATATTGAATATCGAATATTTGAATATCACATAATTAAATTTTTTTTTAGTTTCACCTGAATTTAGAAAAGTGATGTTTAGTCCTACATTTTTGGAGGACCACAACCTTTTAGTTGAAGAGACTAAAGAGTTTGAAGAGCCACTTGTTAAAGCAGCAGATGCTAGAAAAGCTCAAATAGAAATGGATAAAGGTTTATTGTCTCTATTCATTAATCCCCATACAGATTAACCGGTGCACACTTAAAATGATGCTCATCTTCACTTAATCAAAGTTTTTTAATTTCAACACTTTAAAATCTTCTCAATATCTTTAATCTGTTTCCATTTCCATTTGAATCTAAGTACACGCTTATCTCTCTTTCTCCTCTGATTTCTTTCTACATACCCCAATTTTCTGCTCTGTAATCTCTTTCTTCTTTATTTTTATCTAAGTGTACACTTTTCTTTCTACATTTTCTTTAATTATTCTCTATCTACTCACTTTACATATATTTTAATCTCAGTCTTTTTCTATTTCAATCTAAGTAAACAATGATGATTTATCTCTATCTTTTTTCCATTCGCTTCAATCTGTTTCTATTTCCATTTTCGTCTAAATATACATTTATTTCTGTCTATCTATTATGAAGTATCTTATCTTATCCCTTTTCCCAACATTATATCTTATTTCCAATGTCTATTTTTATTTTACATTAAATCTACACTTATCTTTTTACATCTTCTTGAACATATATCCTACAGTTGTCCTAAGGATAACCAGAAATAAGAATGTTCTAAGGATATATATATATATATATATATATAGATATCCTAATTTCCGTATACGGCAATGGGGTAGAAAATGGGAAATAAAAAAAATATAATAATTATAATAATATCTAATTTATACCCCTATATAAAATATAGGGGTATAAAGTGTAATAAAGATACATAGTTCTTATGCGATGTTAGTTTATAGAAAGAGATAACTTTTTGATATGCAATTATTAACTATTTAAAAGAGATAGAAAAAATTACATCTCTTTCTATCCTCATAATTAGAGTTTTTTTAATCTTTTTCTTTCGAGTCAATAACATTAAACGGATTGACTACTTTTACGTATAGATTTATACATAACAATAATTGCACCTATATGTCTTAATCAGGTTTATATTATTATTTCAGATGTCACTATAGAGGAAATTACACAACAGCCTGGTAAAATATAAAAATTATAAATATGAATAAACATTAAGATTAATTAAAAACATATTATTTTTTAAAATATTAGAAATTATCGTTTTATCAAACGAAGAAAATGATATGCAGGTTGTAATAGAAAACGATACAGAGATATACCAACTGCCTTTCGGTAACAGCATAGAGAGTAAGAAATTAAAAATCATTATTTTACGTTTTTAATAAGTTTATAATTATTAAAATAATGTAATACACATACACACTTTTTTCTTTCCCTAAATGTAGAATTTTTCGACATTGACAAATTTGAAAAAGCAATTAATGAAGACAGAGGTATACTAAAAATAAACATAATTTTTAACGTAAACTGTTCAAAAATTATTTAAATTTTATGCAAACTCTTTGTGATTTTAAACAACAATCCCATGTGGAAGGATTTCCCGAAAATTTCCGGAAATCCTTCCACATAGGTTATTTCAAATGCCATAAAATTGAATTGTTTATTTTATGTTAATAACAATAATTTATAGAACTATTAGATGAAATACTGGGAGAAAAATCTGAAGACGTGGAACAAACTTTTAAAAACAGTAAGATAACAAATAATTATAGGGTAGGGAAAGACCCTCATAACACCAGGATATTGTGGATATCCCTGGGACGTCCTAAGGATATTTACCGACTTTTGGCGGTTTGGATATTTCTGGGATATCCCTGGGATATCCATGGACGTCTCAGGGATATCCTATGGACATCCAAACCGCCAAAAGTCGGTGGATATCCATAGGACGTCGCAGGGATATCCACAATATCCCGGTGTTATGAGGGGACAATATAAATTGCGTTAGGATTTTGAGTCTTTAAATTTTGTTTAAAAAATATTAAAAATTAATTAGTAGGTACCCTAACAGCAACGGATACTACAGGATATCCAATAAGCGTCCTAGCCGTATTCGAAAATTAAGATATCTCCAGGATGTTCTCAGGATATCTACAAATATCTCTGGAACAATCTAAGGATATTTTAATTTTACAATATTATTAAAATCCGGATTATGTTAGAGTATTGTTTGAACTATTACTTTGCTACAATTTCTTATAACTTTACGATTTATCTAAATAATGTTAATTTTAATTCAATATAAATTATTTAGAAAATTTTGTATAATAAATTTATTACATAAATTAATATTAATTAACTTCTACTCTACCTTTAAATAAAAAAAAATTTATGGTATATTCTATAATTTATTGCAGAAAAGTTAGAAGAAACATCTGAACCATTGATTTCTAAACCACCGCTTCAGGAACAATCTGAAAAATTGCATGGTAATTTTAATATTGTTTAAAACATTATTTATATATTGATATCTCCTTACTTTTATAGTAACAGACAGATTAAGGAATATCTGTTAGTTTTCCCAGGAATTCTCTTACGATATCAGTGTTAATAAATTATATTAATTCTTGCAAAACTGTTAGATCCTACAGCTGATTCACCAATTCAGTGTCCACCTTTCAAGGACCAATCGAAAGAATTAAATGGTAATATAAATATTGTTTAAGATATTATTTGTTTTTAATACCTACTGACTTAGATACTATCAGAAAGTTTGAGAAATATTCACTGGTATTATTCAAACATTTAAGCAATTGTTACATTAACATCAGAAATTATCTAATGATATCAGTGTTACTGAATTGTATTATTCTTGCAAATCTGTTCGATCTTCTAGCTATACCACCGATTCCGAACCTACCGCTCCATGGACAATCGACATGTAATTCAAATATTTTAGATGGACCAGCTGATTCACACATTCTAACTTCACCACGCAATGTACAATGGGACAGGCGAAATGGTAAATTTAATATTTTTATAATACATTACTTTCATTAGGTTCCTTTAGATACTTTCATAATGTTTTAAGTATATTGCTTCATAGTATTGACACATCTTATAGCTTATTGATTTGCCTAGAAAGTCTCTTATGAAATTAGTATTAATAAATGTTTTTTTATAAAATTGTTAGATCGACTAGGACATACGTATATGTCATATTAACAGAACTATGCTCATCCTTTTCATCTAAATCGACCGTTCCAGGAGCAACCAAGTAGACAAAATGGTAATTTAAACATTTTTTAATTCTTTATTCATACTAAGTAACTGTTGAATTAGATACTGTTAGAGTATTTAAGGAATATCGCTTGGTATTATTCAAGCGATAATGACTCTTATTGTTTTACTCTGAAAGTCTATTACGATATCAATGTTCATAAGTACTTTCTTCCAAAAAAACTGTTAGATCGACTAACTCATCCGTACATGGCATATCAACAGCACTATTCTCAACCTTTTTATACGAATCAACAATTCCAGGAACAATCGCAGAGACCAAATCCACAGGAATATGCTCAATATTTTTTTCTAAATCAACCGTATCAAGGACATTCAACAAGAATAAATGGTAATTTAAACAATATAAAATATTGAATTAAATATAAAATCAAGGAGACAGGTTAATTAGAACATTGTAATATTAATGTATAAAATAAATGAAAAGAATTTACATTAATTATTAAAAAAAAAATTTAGGACGTTTTAATTCTTTATTTAACTTTTACAAAAGATAATTTTTAAGAAATTTTTTAGTGCAAATATCAATTTTGTAACTGCTTTTTATGTCTGAATGGAGTAAAATAATCATAAAACAACCTTGGCGGATTATATCAATCAAACTTTGAACGAATTTGATCAGGTTTTAACAATTTTGATTTAAAACAAAATAGTACAAAAATTATAGAAACTTTTCATTATTTTTCGCAAAACCATAATATTATAAAGGAAAGAACCTATCTCTAGAATAAATATAAATAATAATAATAACAATAATAATATATATGTTTTAGATGAACCATTTTTAAGACAACGAAGACCAACATTGCGTTCCCATCGCTACAAAATGAAAAATTATTACAAGTCTTATTACTACTACTCCAACAACCAATAATAAATTAATATTAATGATTCACACAAATTAATATTAATAATTTTATAAAAATTTTCAAAAAGTTCTTCGAAAGTTAATTTAAGTAATGTATTTAATATATCATTATTTTATTGTTATAATTTCAATTGTTATGAGTAATTAAATCAATGAAAATTTTATTTCTATAATTATAAACTTAATAAGAGATGGCACATAAAATAAACGTTTATAATTCAATTATTGCAAATGAAATATTTAAACAATTTGTCCCCTAACCTCACATTTTCATTGCAACATATAATATCAAACAATATGTTTGAAAATTCTTTTCAATATATAATGACATTGTAGTTCGGTCAGAATTCGATATCACTTATCACAAAATTTAATAATCCCTTCATGGTAATATGGAGACGATTAAAAATCGCAGTCGCGACCTATCAATAATGCTAACTTTTTTTTAAATATAGGTTAACTATTTTACGAAAATTTTGTAATCCCTCCAAATTTAAGGAGAGTTTAAAAATCCCATTCAAAGTATAAAGAAATCAAAAGTCGGTCAGCAAAAGGGCTTTATGATGCCTCCTTGGAAACGAAGAAAATTAAAATATGTTGAGAAAAGTTAACACACATGTTAAGATGAGGCACCGAATATTTAGAGTAACATCGGTACTAAATTGTATCGCATTAACGCTTTTTGGTGGAAAGATACTGTACTAAATAGTTCGTCCCACAAGATAGAGGAGTTCATGAATAACTACGGAAATCTAAAAAATGGCGCAGTTAGTTTATCTTAAGCAGATTAACTACACTAAAAATAAGTAGCATTGTTTAAACAAAATTATGTATTTTTTAGTATTTGATGCAATAATTTCCACAACTCAATAAAATTTATTTCAAAGTCAAAAAATTTCTTGAATCTAGAAAATATTGAATTAAATAAGTAAACTGCAGAAAATTTCCTAATTCAATATTACTTTTTCCAGTGTTTATGAACATAATTTTGCAACCACTCCTAAAACAGAAAAGTATAAAAAATTTTATTAGAAGATTAAAAAAGAATATTTGGGTCAGAAGAATGAATTCGACAATTATAAGATACAGTAATCTCTTCTAGAGAAAGGAAAACTTTTTTTAAATTTGCAACTAATGGTCATAGTTCCTTCAAATACAGGTTAGCAATACAATTAATATTTAAAACTCGCTCCTAAAAAAGAAGACATTAAAAATCGCAATAAGCTTTTAAAACATAAATTCGGTCCAAAAAATGGCTTCAGTCATCCTTAATTTAAATAATTTAAATAATAATATCAAATTATGCTTTATTCAGAAATTATAGCAATCCCTCCTCAATAAAGGAGAGTTTTATAATCAGGTTCAAAGTTTAAAACAATCTGATTTCGGTCAGCGAAAGTGTTTCAGTCATAATAAACTTTAGTAATCCCTCTTCATTTATAAAGAAGATTAAAAATCAAAGTAAATTCTATAAAATTGCATAGTTTTAATTGAATTAATGTTAGTCTCATTGAGAAATTTCATCAATACCTCCTATTTAAAGGAGATGTTTAATTATCTCCATCAAAGTTTGAAGTAATCTATATTCTGTCAGAAAAAGGATTCAGTCATAATAAAATTTATAAATTCCTCCTCGTTGATGGAGAAGTTTAAAATTTGATGTCAATTCTCTAAAATAGCACAGTTTTTATTTAAATTTAGCAATCTCTCCTTACTAAGGAGAGTGTTATAATTCGTTTCAAAGATTAAAGCAATGCAAGTTCGTTTAAAAAAGGGTTTTCGTCATAATTAACTTTAATAATTCCTCCTCGGAAATGGAGAAGTTCAAAAATCAAAGTCTTTACTATAAAATAGCATAGTTTCATTTGAATTTATGTTAGCCTCATTATGAAATTTTAACAATCCCTCCTAAAAAAGGAGAGTGATATAAATTGTTTCAAACTTTAAAGCAATCCAAGTTCGTTTAAAAAAGAGTTTTCGTCATAATTAACTTTAATAATTCCTCCTCGGAAATGGAGAAGTTCAAAAGTTTAAAGTAACCAAAGTAGGGTCAGAAAAGAGATTCAGTCATAATAAGATTTAAAAATTCCTCCTCGTTGCTGGAGAAGTTTAAAATTTGATGTCAATTCTCTAAAATAGCACAGTTTTTATTTAAATTAAGGTAAGCCTCATTGAGAAAATTTAGCAATCTCTCCTTACTAAGGAGAGTGTTATAATTCTTTTCAAAGATTAAAGCAATCCAAGTTCGGTCAAAAAAGAGTTTAGTTACAATTAACTTTAATATACAGTTTTTATTTAAATTAAGGTAAGCCTCATTGAGAAAATTTAGCAATCTCTCTTTACTAAGGAGAGTGTTATAATTCGTTTCAAAGATTAAAGCAATTCAAGTACGGTGAAAAAGGGTTTTAGTCGTAATTAAAGTGATTAATTCCTACTCGGAAATGGAGAAGTTTAAAAACCAAAGTCAATTCTATAAAATAGCATAGTTTTATTTGAATTATTTTTAGCCTCATTATGAAATTTTAGCAATCCTTCCTAAATATAGGAGAAGTTTAATTTTCTCCTTCAAAATTCAAGTAATAGTCAGAAAAGGGATTCAGTCATAATAAAATTTAAAAATCCCTCCTCATTGATGGAGAAGTTTAAAATTTGATGTCAATTCTCTAAAATAGAACATTTTTTATTTAAATCAAGGTAAGCCTCATTGAGAAAATTTAGCAATCCCTCCTCTATAAGGAGAGAGTTATAATTTGTTTCAAAGATTAAAGCAATCCAAGTTCGGTCAAAAAAAAATTTAGTCATAATTAACGTTAATAATTCCTCCTCGGAAATGGAGAAGTTCAAAAGTTTAAAGTAACCAAAGTTGGGTCAGAAAAGAGATTCAGTCATAATAAAATTTAAAAATTCCTCCTCGTTCATGGAGAAGTTTAAAATTTGAAGTCAATTCTCTAAAATAGCACAGTTTTTATTTAAATTAAGGTAAGCCTCATTGAGAAAATTTAGCAATCCCTCCTCAATAAGGAGAGAGTTATAATTTGTTTCAAAGATTAAAGCAATGCAAGTTCGTTTAAAAAAGAGTTTTCGTCATAATTAACTTTAATAATTCCTCCTCGGAAATGGAGAAGCTTAATAGTTTAAAGCAACCCAAGTTGGGTCAGAAAAGGGTTTCAGTCATAATAAAATTTAAAAATTCCTCCTCATTGATGGAGAAGTTTAAAATTTGATGTCAATTCTCTAAAATAGCACAGTTTTTATTAAAATACTGAATATGTGAATCGAAATTTAAGGCCTACTTTTTGAGTAGTAAAGTAGGGCTTCTTATATACATGTATATATATATATACTGAGAGACCTTTTGCACCGTAGCCGACTTTTGACAGGCGGCTGCGGAGCATTCTGTTGGTATGCTACGAGACTATACGTTTCGGCTGCTGCGTTACATTTTTGGGGGCGTGTCTGCCAAAAAGTCCTTACAACTTCGGTGAGCTACTCACCAACATTTTGGACAGTCACGATCCCAAAATTGTACCGCCGCACACCAAAACCATTGTGGCGTTGCCATTCAAGTACGGTAACTAAAACCAGTGAACAGTGGTACTCAATGTGAAAAGATGTTGGCTTTTCAGTAACTGGTCACTTTCCGTAATAGCACCTTAAAGTCGTTTTCTGTTTGGCGCAGAAATTGCAGCCTTCAGAGAGCCTGCGACAAAATATGAAACGTGCCATAGGTTTTTTCGAAACGTAACCTATTTTTCGGTGTTTTCTTCGAAATTCTACTCCCACCACTCAACTCTGTTGCTCTAAATTTGCTGCCAGTTACTGGATAATTTTTCTAAGCAGTTAAGAAAAGCAGTAATCCCAGTAATAAAAAATAAAAAAAATTATCACTTTTTTTACACTTGTCTAACGCGTGTCTAATTGATTAACATTCAATTAAGAAATTAGACATCACAGAAAATAGTTGGCAAATCTTCGATTGTCTCCATAAAAATAATCAAGAATCGAAGATTTCAATTTTAACCAAATAACCACGAGTTTTATGCAATTTGTGCAGATTTTGTGTGTGTCTCAAATTTATTTTTTGTCGTGATGTCGCATTATTAAACACGCGTGGTTCATGAATTGTTGGTTCCTAATTGTAAATACAAGTGACAACAACAACAACAATAAACACAAATATTTTGGACGACAAATGAAATAAACAAAATAATCGAATAATCTTAAAGGAATAAGTTGTCATTTCAAAGAAGAAAAAATGGCAGAAGGTTTGTAGTCTTTAAAATTTTTAAATAATTTACATTTTCTTCAAAGATCCATTATTTTATGTATATATTTTAAAAGAATAGAATTATGCGTAAAAAGTAAAGCAAATCCGTAGAATTGCGACGTTAACTTATTTATTTTAATTATATTTTAAAAGATTTTAATCTGAAAAAATACTATTCAATTATTTCTGAATATTAAATTAAAATTTTTATAAATTGTCTAATTATTTAATTAAATTATTTTAAAAATTGTACAAATCTACATATATTAATTTCATATTTAAAATATTTAAGAAATGCTTATCAAATCGTATAAAAATTGTCATTTATTTATTTTAATGATTTTTATTCTTATTTATTCTATATTTCTTAATTTGTTAAAAAAACGACAAATGGAAAAAAAATAAACTGCAAAATTATCGGCAACTATTGATGAAAAAGTGAAAAACAGCGCGATTTTGCTGTTTACTTTTTTCAGTGCATTTGATTTTGACTCATGTGTAAATTATTTGTAGTTCTTTAATTAAAATTCAAGTTGCAATAATAAAGTTTTTTGTTTCAAAAATAAAGCTATTGCTGACGAACAAATAGTGTTGTCGATTAACGCAGCTGTTGTCATGATTTTCGATGACGAAGAGGAAGAAAAAGACGAGGCACGAATTTTAATCGCAGCGGCTTCAAAGGAAAAAGTTCAAATTCCTAAAACGGAAAACTATTTCGAAAGTATAATTCCAAGATTCTCAAACTCAAGTAAAGT